ATAATTAGTTAATTTTCAGCCCTTCACCTGGTATCTCAAGTACTAATCATCACATTTCAATGAGACTTGCGACATAGATCTTCTAGGACTATGCAGAGACTTGATTAATTTTAGGATAAATTATTGTGCATATTAACTACTAATTTGCTTAATTAGTTAATTTGTCCTAAGAACCACTCATTGAATTTTAATGAAACTTTTAAAGAGTGCTCATCACATTTCAATGAACCTACATGTGTAGGACTATACACCATATTAGTTTTGGTAAATATTTATGCTTCTTAATCACCTAATTAACATAATTAATTAATACTGAGTATTGATCATCACATTTGAATAAAACTTGGTACATAAATGCTCTAGGACAATAGACAGCCTGATTAATTTTAGGTTAAAATCTGTTCATATTAATTCTCTTAATTGGCACAATAATTAATAATTTTTTGGTTCTAATCACATTTCAATGAAACTTGGTACATAGATATTACATTACGCAGATCTTATTACTTTTACATTGCGCAGACCTTATTAGTTTTACACTTAAATGTGTTCATATTAGTTACCTTATTTGCATAATTAGTTTTCTGCATTTCCATCAATATCTCAAGTTCAAGTAATTTTGAATTAATTTTTAATGTGTCTCCAATACTCTCAGCACACGGGAGTTCTTTCTAAGCTTTCTTTGATTATGTTTGATTTCACACATAACGCGCAATCTCACAGTGAAAATGGTCTGATAATAGATAGATTACTCCAGTATGTATATTGGCAGACCAGGAACTGCACAAAAACGTTGCACAACTTTATAATAAACGAAATGTAGTTTGGGTAAATAAAATGATTGAATGCATATGAGCAAACAAGTACACAGACAGAATAGTATTTTACAAAAGGCAAGACTACTTAACCAACCAGACATAGTCGGTTTGATTGATTGTATGTATACATGGTCTGTATAGGTAATGAAATGGATAACCTAGTTTTAAGGTTACAGTACTACAATGCTATGATTAAAACCTTGTTGAGAAATTGTCACTTGTCTAGATGATAGATCTCTGTCTACATGTGTCTGTTCAAGGTTCATCATCAGATATACTTTGTAATCCGATAGTTATTGAATATCCTCTTTTTTTTTTATTTCAGCTGCTTATATGGTTGATTCAAATAGACTATTATCATTATTTTATGTAAAAAATGTTTATCATTTGCTCAATATTCATGAATTTAAAAATTTCTTATGTAGATTATTAGTCTCCGTTCGGACGAAGTCCGAAAACAGGGACTTATAATTCGGTCTCCGTCCGTCCGTGTGTCTGTGTGTCCGTGCGTCCGTCCGGAGTCATATTTCAGAATCCTGTGGACCGATTCCGTTCATTCTTTGCATGTGCCTAGTACCTTATATGGGACATATGCACATGCAGTGGTTTAGCGATTCGATTCAAAATGGCCGACTGGCAGCCATCTTGTTTTTTGAAAATGTTGTATTTTGGACATGCTTGGTCAGTTGTCATTCAAACTTGGTACATAGATTATACATGTTAGGATACATGTCCATGACGATTTATTTCGCAATTGGATCAAAGATGGTCGACTGGCAGGCATCTTGTTTTTGTTTTTTTATGTGGTATCTTGGATGTGCTCTGTCAGTTTTCATTCAAATTTGGCACATACATGTACTTTATACATGTTAGGATGCATGTCCATGACAATTTGTTTCAAAATCTGGTCAAGGATGGCTGATTGACAGCCATATGACTTTTTGGCCTTACTACTATATTTCCACAATTTATGTACCATTTTCATTCGTATTTGTCACATACATCATACATATAAGTGTGTTTCATAATCAGATCAAAGATGGCTGAATAACCGCTGTTTTTATTTTTGGCCATATTACTATGACACGAAACACGTGTTTTGATGTAAATAAACAATCTGTTGTATACGCCACTTGGAACTCAAGTTTCAAGGACACGCTCGCGACAACCCCTTCGCTTTAATATAACGAGCACAAAGAGAACTTAACAGGGACTGTGTCATTTTCAATGACTTGTGTTGATAACATTTTCTATATCATGTATTTGTACATTGATCAGTTAGCAACAAAACTTGCGCGATATTTGTTCACTTGTCCCACAGTTATAGTTGTTTAATTATCAAAATATGAAATAATAGAATTCTTGGGTGTTAATTTTGTAATGTTATTTATGATTTTTAAAATGTTATCATCACTAATCTTTATTGTACATTAATATGAAATATTTATAACTAGATCAATGCACAATATTTTGGATAATCTCATTGTTATTATCATTAAAAAATCATATATTTTTCATATAGGTTTGAAAATAATCTTAGTATTTCCATATATTTTGTTTTCAGTTAATATTTTTTTCATATTAACTTATAATATTAAAATGACATTAATTAATAACAAATCTTAATTATTGATTTGAAGAAGGCAAAATACATGATATGATTGTAACAACTGTTGACAATTAAATAATCCACTAGTTTTGAAAAGCTCATCTAGACTTGCAATTTGAGGGTTTATCATTATACACAATAAACTCTTCTTGGTGCAAAATTCTAAATATGAAATTTGTTTCCATATCTCAGGTATAAATTCTTGTCTTACCTCATTCTATGCTCTTCTATGTAGGTATACTAATGGAAGGGTGCGTCTATGGAACATCAACGATATTGAAAGTGACCTCTTCGTAACATCACATGAAACTATAGGGCTGGAGCAGAGATGTCGACCAGCTGTCGATCACGTAGCCACAAACAGCAATATTGCTATGGCAACCTATGACAATGGTAAGTACAAGGCCTTTCTAGGTCGTATATGCTGAATACCTTGAATGAAATGCACGTTTACAGAGTCCAGGGATGAAATGAGTAAACAACTGTTGTCATGACAACATAATATTGATGTTGCTGCAAAGCTGAGTTTGAGGTTTTTTCATGATTAAGGTTTTCAGGGTGATTTAGCTGTCAATTTCATCATCAAAACTCTTTTTTTAAAGATGATGTCATCGTTGTAACAATTTCAATAGTTTTTGAAGCTTGTCTAGACTTGTCCGGTGATGAATAATTTGCAGGTGTCGTCTCTGAATAATAGCAGTGTTTTGGGGGGATTCCCTAGTCTAATTAAAATAGAGCGTTCCATTTAATCCAGGGAAGGAAGCGTGAGTATTTGGTATTAACCAATTAAATTGCCTTGATTTTTTTCCAAATCCTTTGAAACAGAAAAATGATCTTTTGTAAATCTCTAAACAGACTATGACAACCAATGATTTCTTTCCACAGTTTTAAAGTCACTATGACTCAGTGAGAACAGACTAATCATCAATAATGACACTGCTTAGCTACTCATTTTCACTTCACTGTACATCCACTGTAAAGTCAAAATGTGCTGAAATTTGTGATTGCTGTGGTAGTGCTGTGGTAGTGCTGTGGCGGTGATGGGTAGTGAATTTAATGCAGCATTTTCTTCTTCACCTTTTAGCACCATTTAAATAATATTTTGAAATCTACTAATATTTTGGGATTGCGAATGAATTAGCAAATGCAAAGATTGTTAATATATAGTAGTGTATGGGTACATTATTATGCCAACAAGTTGGATGGCATATTCATCATCAGTATGTATGTCTTTAAACATGGGATTAAAGTCAGTTCGTCTTTAATTCGATGTCCATTTCTAATCTTTGAGAAATCTTTCTGGATTAGTAGTTCATGACTTTTATTGGCAGATTTAAAAATTAAATTAAGTAAAATTATGAATATACATATTCCATAAGCATACAAATATTTCCTGATTCATTGTTGAATTACAAACCTAGAATTGAGTACTGGTTCACAAAATTAAGTTTGTGATAATAATAACAATCATAACTGATCTTGATATTAAAATATGGCACTTGTTTTTTTTTTAATTTTTGAATACATATAATAATAAGTCAAAGTGACATTTATGGTACTAAATAAATATACTTTGGGTCAAAAGATGGATGGATTATGGCACTTTTTTGTTCAAACAAATCCAGTTTTATCTGCTTGTTACGTTATGCATTACTATGTGTTCACCACAATTTGTAATTTTAGCACAGATTTACATGATGAAAAATATGAAAAAGTTGAAAAGTGAAAAACTGCTGCTTTTAAATATACCTTGCAGAACCTTAGTATGTGACCTTTGACTCTGTCTACATGTGCTTACATTGTAGGTTAGGTCAAGCAGTCAAGGTGAGGTGACAATATGTGTATAATGAGGCAAAGTACAGACAGTGTTTACTCAGTCAAGGTTGTTACCGTGTCCTTTATTATTATAGTATACATTACTTAAATTGTGAATTAATGAAGGCAGGTAAAGACACGGTTTAATTTATTATGATGTATTGGAAATTTTGTTATTTGTTAGTCTTTGTGTCGATCTTGTAGGTCATTTTGTTTTTGTGCTATTTTTATAATTAGTTTTAAATGCTATGTGTAGTCAGAATGTTCATTTCACGTTACCATAATTCTATGTGCTGTTACCGCAAAACACATTGAATAGCTGCATATACTGTAGTTTTGGTCAATTTGACTTCATGCATGAATTAACAGAATATTAATTTATATCAACATACCAGTTATTTCATTGTGAATACTTTCCATTAAATTAGCTACATTCTGAAATTATGAATAAAGTAAAATAACATGCTTCCCCTGGTAACAGTTTATTGCATGTATATAATTCACAACAAAATATTTTGATTTGATTGAGGTCATTGATCTATTTATCTAGGTTAGAGCACATAAATGCCACAGATTCAAAATGGCTACCAGGGGATGGAGGTTATTATGGAAAACAAGGTGATATGTGGCATAATTATTATGAAAAGTTATTGTCAAGACATGAAATTAATTATTTTATGCAATTTATGAGGTGCATGCTACTATAATTGTCTGTGGGTGTCTTGTTGGGGTCCCTTGAAACTGCAATACCTTTAATACAATGTAAAGAGCAGTGTTTAGCAGTTTCAGATCTCCCCAATATTTTTTTATATAATTTTTTTTCTTTGACTTTCTAAATACCAACAAAACTTGTCGTTAGAACAAATATCAAATATTACATATTTGTTTTAGTTTATATTTAATATTTTGAAGTCAGTATTATCTAACCTGTATGAATATTTTTGGTAACAAATGCTATTTTCATCCCAATTACTTTAATATTTTATATGTTTTCATCTTAGGAGAACCTCCATTAAATTTTTAAATTTTATTCTGACAACTTCTATTCACTATTTTATTGGAATATTTTGGTAATTTTTAGTAAAGAAGTGCTATTTTAAACTTTTTCTTGATATTTATATTTGTTCATTCCATGGTGATAAATTCTATTCTCTGAGTGAGATTGATTATTTCATTCATTTCTTAATTTATTGAGTGTTGATATTTGGTTTTACTTTCACAGTATTCATTTCAAACAGCAGAACTATATAAGTTGACAAGTGGCTAGTTTAATAACAAATATTTTATCATTTTGAGTAAAAAATGCTATTTTCAACTTTTTCTTGAAATCTAGTAGGTTTGAAATTTGATATGGGTCAGGTTAGTCCATTTTGTGACAATATCATCAATTCTCTATATTTATGTAATTTTTGGGCAAAATTACTATTTTACAGTAAAATATAAACCCAATTTCTTTGTTACTTGATTTGTGTTCCTCAGTGGTATCTATATTAGGGTTGTATTTCATAACAGTAACTATAAACCTATCAAAGTTTTAGTGAATATTTTGTTATTTTTTCGAAAGGGGTATGAAACCTAGTATTCTTTGTTTGTTGATCTTTGACCCCAGGTAAGATCCACGTGAGTGTGTGTTGTGTCCAGTCAGAGATTAAAATAAACATATTGTGCAATGACTGGGTATTGTGTTCAGATATCAAACGTATCACAACAGGATTCCACTTTATTGAGCCAACAAATAGATAATGTATGATGTTTGTCAGAATCACATGAATATCATGTTTTACTTAATTACATGCAAAAATAACAAACAAAACTATCTTTTAAGTTCAGCTTTAATGCTCAGTTCAAGGTGGGTATAGTTTAATAGTTTCCAGTTGACTTGAACAGTGAAATTGCATTAATTTAATTAAAGAAAGGAAGGAAGGAAGTTACTTTATTTACAAAATCATAATTTCCCTGACCCCAACATTTATTGATTACATTAAATTAAAGATTATCTTAATTTGATTTAAGTTATAGAATAAAAAAAAGGTAACATGACTTGTTTCCATGGAAACAATGGTTTTAATTTTTTTCACCATTCAGGCATTCTGTGAAAAGCGGGACTTTTAAAAATGTTTTTGGAATTAAGGCAAGTTACCGGTAACCCTGTAAAGCACACAATTGAGTCTTTGCAGTTAGTGCAGTGTGTGTTTCACTTATATCTCAAGAACCATATGTTTGTTCTTGATGAAACTTGATGCATAGATGCTGTGGGCTAAAGTACAGATTTGACTAGGTTTTGGTTGAAATCCTTGCATAATAATTACCTAATTTGCATGATAATTAACTATTGTTTGGCTGCTTCATGACTGTTTTACTGATATCTAAAGATTCACTCATTGGATTTTGATGAAACGTTTATAGATGCTCTGGGACAATGTGTAGACTTGATTAGTTTTGGGTAAAAATCCATGCATATCAACTACCTGATTTGCATAATGATTAGTCAATTTCCAACTTGTCCACTGATATCTCAAATAATAATCATCACATTACAATGAACCTTAGTACATAGATGTCATAGGACATGCACAACCTGTAATTGTGGTTTAAATGTGTGCATATTAATTACCTAATTTGCATAATATTTCACTATTATGCTTTTCCATTGATCACATTTTATTAAAACTCGATGGTATTTTACATTGATAGTATGTTATATTGCACAGACCTTATTACCTGATTTGCATAAAAAATTAGTCAGGTTTCAGATTTTCCATCAATATATCATGTACTTATTTTAACTTGTGGTAGAGGTGCTCTGGAATAAATTAGATTGAAAACCTCAGATGTAAAATCAAGTGTATTTTAAATTTCAATAATGTGGATCACATTGTTCTAATGTTGTAAATGTACATCTTAAAAAGCAGACAATCATCTTGTTTGGAAGGCTAATTAATTCTCAATGTCTTCAATACTCTCAGCACACAGGAGTTCTTTCTAAGCTTTCTTTGATTACGATGAGAGTCATGGTGTAATTTAAGGAATCTAGTAAGTTCTTTGAAATGCTCTCAGACTGCAGCATCTGTGTCTCTCGTGATCAAAGGGAGTAGACCGACATGGCTATTATTGCAGATGAATTGTTAGACACTTCATGATAAGATCAAAGTATGTCTGAAGAACTTTGAATTCTTTTCCCAAAATATCATAAAGGCTTTTATTTCTGAGTTTCTGTATATGTAAAGCCAATTATCAATGGGTGTCACATATTTATACGTTGGGAACATACTAGTAATGGCTTCACATGCGACTTATCCTGTCCAATAATTATTCAACGTCAGTCTTATCTGTTAAGTTATTTATGTTGAGTGATTCTTACATAAAATGCTTTCAAATTCAGCAAAACACAATCTGATTTGTACTGTATTACAGTGCATAATAGTGAAATGACGAGGTAAGCTTATGCAAGAATAGTGACATACATAGAAGATCACATGTTTTACAAAATAGCATGCACGTTTCTTGATATACTAACTGCAAATGAGTCAGTCTATAAAGAAATTTGCCTCAGGTATTTTTGTTGAGTGTCCTTGTAT